TTTTTTTTTTTTGAGAGTTGAAAGTCTTTGTTTTTATTTCTTGTTCACTTTGATATCTTTCTCTTTCTTAGTATCATATGTATTGCTCTATTGACTGAGCCCAAAATATCAACTGAAACATCACTAGTAGAGCTTCCACATATTTTTTTGTCTCAAACATTTTTCAATTTCGAATTTCACATTTGCATTTTACACGCAGCTTGTTCGCAATTCAATTTAATTTTTGTGTTTGTGTTTTTCTTTAGCTGTGCAGTTGCATTTGTTTATAACTGCATTTGTTTACACTCGCCCGTTGGCCACCAAGTGTTTTATTTCACAAATAACTTAATTCATAAACGAAATATTGTTTTTAGTTATAGCGCGCGTCGCAGCTTAACTCGCACAGCAAAATATGAAATCTCTTACTTCAATTAATTAACATGTTGATTTTCGCAATTGCCCAATCAATGCATAAATATTTATTTAAGGCAAACTTTGCAATTTATATATATGTATATATTTTTTAAGAGCGTTTGCCTTTGAAGGGCTTTCACAGTGGTACAAAAAATATCCAGCCAATGCAAATTTATATGGCCTCCCTTTAAAAAAAAAATGCACTTCCGCTGGAAGCGAGCAGCAGGAGGTATGTGCGAAGCCGCGTAGCTGCCGGACAAAAGCCAACAATTGCATTGTTTAATTAAGTTAATAGAATTATAAGTGGGCCAGGCGCACTTTTTGTCACTTAACATGCATATAGTTCGTTTAATTCTTTCCTTTTGCCGACAAGGAACCCCATAAAACTGCCATCATAAATTTTTTTATCTGGAAACACAGCTGATACATATATACGCAACGTCAGCTGTTGGCTCGGCGCTGTGGGTGTGTTTGCCCAGTAGGAAGCGCAACCAAGATTGCCTTGACATCGACAATTAACAATGGTCTATTACAATTAGTACAATATACACCAATATTATAATACAGTATATCCAGTGACTTCTATTTAATCCAGACTTCTAGGCAATGGTATATACTAAAAGGATGCTGAGATAACAGTTTTGTCGGGTGTATAAGTTTTTTTGATATTTTCAGGTCGGCAAAAACTAATTTGATTGATAAGGGATTTACTTTTGTACTACAAAGGGATACTTGAAATTTAAGAAAATTTTCAAAATTATTATAGAGAATGCGTACATAAATTTCAAAGTTTTCAAAGCAATAATTGGAAGTTAAATTCAAGTAGTTTCTACATATTTCTAATGGCAGTGGGGGCATGTCTTCTTTCTGGGGCTTTGAATACCTGTTTTAAAAATATTTTCATGTTTATTCCTGGAGTTTTTTCAGCGTAAGCTCTCCCAGTTTTTGTTTTTACCTCGTTCGCAGGCTTTGTTAGTACTCAATTTAAATATGCAGCACACACTCTCTGACACACACACTAGCACACTGATATGTGTGTGCAGACAATGACCGGCAACAGCTTTGTTCGGTGATTTTTTTCAATTCGGTTGCTCTCACGCTCAGTGTCCTTCTATGTGTGCCTTCCTGCTCCCCCGCTCTGTCGTACATAATTCACTTGGTTGCTGGGACACTTAAGCCACTTACTTCTTGCATTCTGGCACATAAAAACGGGTGCAATTGTTCAGCTCGACCGCACAATGGACAACGGAATCTCATGTGGCTTAGAGGTAAAAATATTGTGGCTTAACTTTTGTATTGCACACGTTAAGGCGCATAGCGGTTTTTATATTGCTCACATGCATAGTAATGTATAATATTATTTCATTTTTGTTTCACTTATGTTGTTTTTTTTTCAATATTATCAGTTACAAATAAACATTGTAGCGCTCTGCTCGCCGCACTGTGGCGCACTGTGTTGCGTTACGCGCCGGCTTTTGCGAATTCCGAACAGCGTTTGGCCACTTGGCCGTAACGCAGAAATTTATACCGATTTCCCGAGGGCCAGCGCTGGGTTTTGAGTTAATTTAATTAGACTAAAACGTCAAATATTTGTATTCGTTTGGCCGTTCTGTCGGCGTGGCAAATACATGCAGACGCTACAAATACGATATGAGGTGTGCGTTACGAGGGCCACAGAACCGCCTCTGACCAGTCCGTGTACTTGAACTCGACATTCCATGCCAACTATCATTGTTGTTGTTGTTGTTGTTATTTTGAATATTGTTGTTGATCACCTGTCTGGGTCGTCGGTAATCAACAAGTTCTTGTTGCCTTTGACTCTGCCTCCGCCTCTAGCTCTGCCCCTGCTGCTCACTGTAAGGCGATTAGAGCAAAACGCATGCAAAGTAGGCAACAATTCAATTACAACTAATTTGCTGTGATTTCATTTTCAATTCTTGTTGGTGCTGTTTCTTGCTGCTTTTCTTTTTTTTTCTGCTGTGAATTGAAGTGAATTTAATTTGATTTTAAATAAGCGACAGTGAAGTGTAAACAGTTTGCGTGTGCTTAGGTTAGTCCCTCATAGACCCTGACAAAGAGAAGTGAAGGGCTTCCATTGTTACCTGTAGGTCATGCTTTGACAAGTGACAAAAGTCAAAGCAGTAATAAATTCTTGGAATAACTTCATTTGGCTACTTTTGTTATATAATTCTTAGGTTAAGGTGCTCGAGTAGAATAATCCAAGTTATTTACTAATCACAGATTTACTCATGAAACCGGCTAAACAAGCTAAGCAGCGTATGATGGCATTTCCGAAGAGAATGCTCAGAAACATCTAAAATTAGCATTTCATATTTACTACTTGATAAGCACTTCATACCAAGTTTGTGAATATGTTTGTGTGCGTGTGAGTCAAAGGCAACCTTTTGATTGTCTCACATAAATTCGTTTGGGGCTACAGCTGCACGGAGCGATGCCGAATGGCAAGAGCAAGCCTGAAGCGCATGGTACGTGCATCCGGAAACCGAAAAGCAAACAATATTAAATCAAAAATCTTAAACTGGATTTTGATGAGAGAGCCAAGCAGCACAGACGCCGAGCGAGGCGAGCAACCAACCAGTCAACAGACAACAGACAACAATTGAGGCAAGGGCAGCAGAACTCGTCCTGCTGCCGATGCGGAGGGGAGAGCCAAAGTCAAACAAACAAAGAAATAGCAGAGCAGCCAGAGCTGGCAACAGGATCTGCTGAGGGTGCATGGCAACGCACGCATAACAGCACGTAAACTCATTTAGAGGCACACGCGAGTAGACAGGTGGAGCCACCAGGTGGCTCTGTTAGCCAGGTGGTAGGGTGATCGGGTGGCTCGGTTGGCTAGGGATATGTTGTTAGCTGGTCGACCCATGGCTGTGTGAGTCTTTTTGCAGAGACCTGAGAGCATCAGCGCGCTCTGAATTGACAACAACAACAGCCAGCGGAGCGGTGGGCGTGGCAAGTGCAGGTGCTTTGCAATGACAATGTGCGGCGAGCAGTTGCACCTTACGCTCAGCTTCATTGTGTGCAGCAGGAAATACGATTTCTTTTTGGGCGAGCGTGTGTGTATGTGTGACAGCCAACTTATATGCAGTCGCTCACTTATGCAAACAGACGCTAAGTAGCATAGTTGTGCACACACACACGCACACACACCAATATGATATATTTCTTTCAGTTTCAGTTGCGGTGAGGCAGTAGCTCGAAAGAAAGCGCTATACGTTTGCAGCTTGCTGCTGAGCAGTTCTCCACATGCTGCTGCATGTGCGTGCGGCAAATAAAATTGCATTCAATATTTTTCTTGGTTTTTGCGGTTTTGATGAGATTTTGCTGGCACCTGTGCAGGGCATCTGAGCTCCCTTGCCGCTTCAGCTTTAGTTTGTCTGGCTTTCAATTTATGGCTGCTGCGCAACATTAGCCATCAATTTTATTTTATACAGTTTTTTAATATACATATATGTACATATAATTCTTTCTGGTTTGCTCTGCACTACATTGCGCAAGCACGCGCTTAATTGTGGACACAGAGTTCGCAGATTCTCAAGGAGCAATACAGCCGAAATTATTTTCTTTGCTACTGAGACTTTTTTATTTATTTCTTAATATTCGTTCCTCTGAATGAAATTCAATTATATCTTGTTGCTTGCAGTCCGCACGAAAACACGGTATGAATTTTTAACTTCAATCACTACATCTTATTCTTGCAATTTCAAACAAGCTCTTAAATCAGTCTAAATAAACTTAATTAAATTGGGTTAGCTAAGAGAATTTGCCGAATAGAGTGATATACAGCACATAGGCAATTTATTTTGTGTTTTGCCAAATTTCAATTAGATTTTTATCTTTTCGCTTGCCCTCTCTTTTCTTCTGACTTCTTTCTGGCTTGTAAATGTACAATAAATATTTAATTTAAATGTATGTAAGCGATTTTACTGCATTTGGCTATATTTATTTATTTTACAGCTTTAGAAGTGGACCAAGCTTTCCAAGACGCGATTGCATTTGAAAAGTAATTTCAATTTGCAGCTAAAAGTATGCAGCACATTTGCCAAGCACGGGATCTTTTGATGCTGCACATTTTGGCATTGCATACTTTTGAGCGCAGTGGTTAAATTGATTTGCTCTTTCGCTAGCTCTCGCTCTCGCTAGCTGTCACTGTGCGTATCGGCGTGAATGTGTGCACATGTGAGTGTGTGTCGGTGCGTTTTGTGTGTGGGCGTGCAGAGGTAACGTCATCAACTCTGGGTTGGCCATTTGCGTTGGCATTTGCGCAATTCATAAATGTTTATTTTGTTCGCCTTTGTGCCAGAAGATGTGCGCGTGTGTGAAACACTCTGGCATGCCGATTCATCGCAGTGACCTTTCGGATAAAAGGAATGTTTAAATTTATCAATAAATGAATTGCCTGACTTTAAGATTTATCGAAATACACTAGCAAACTTGTTTGTTTTTGGCATAAGTCCGTGTTGGCCACACAGCATCCACAACAGCAACAGCAGCTAGTCCTTGTGGTAAAATAAATTTTCTGCAATTCATGACAGCACCAGCAGTAGCAGGAGCAGCAGTAGAGGCAACTGAGCTCTCAGGTGTGGGCGTGCCGGAAGTACGTGCCAAGACACGAAACTTTTGCGAAAAGGATTAGAGCAGGCGTGCGGATGGAGCTCCCCCCACAGCCGAATAATACTCCGAGGACTTAAAAGGCAATCAAATTAAATTGTTTTTGCGGTTAACCACAAAAGTTCTTCGGCTCAGATCAGAAATGCGAAAGAACCACAAAATACATAAACCAGTCCGTGTGTTCGTCCATCCCTCTGTCCGTCCGTACGTCCGTACGTCCGTCCGTCTGGCAATAATTTGAGTTTTATATACATTTTATTCAAATGTATCTGTATGATAAACGAGCAGTCAGCTGCCTGGCATAAATGTCAATTAAGTTTATTTATCTGCAGCGCAAATCAAGCGAAATTCTTTTGCTGTTGACGCAGCCACAGCACCAATACAACTCAATACACCCAAAGCACCTATAAATACTTACCTGAACATTTGTTTACGTACCCAGCCCAATTAGACGTAAACAAGAGCCGCCGGAAGTAGGCCACGTAAAAAAAACACATCGAATCCACCTTAACAACAACATCCACATTCAAATCAACAGCAGCAAATGAAGCTGGCAATAAATACAAACTGGCATGATAGAAACCAACTTGTCCATCAAGCACTTATACGGAAAGTGTTTAAATAAATAAACGCGAGTATGTATATTAGGAATTTGCTATTTCTAAAATATCAATATGTTAAATTTAATATTTGAAAAAATAAATAAAATAAAAAATTACATGAATTACGCAAATATTTCAATATAAAATATTGCTTAAAAATTCTAGCAATTCTTGCGTATATTAAGAATTTTACAATGTTTCACATAGATACTAATCAAATCAAAATCGAAAAGTTTTTAAAGCATGTGGACAGATACAGAAAAAAATCCATTATGGAGGCTTAAAGACAATTGGATATATGTAAGGTACCCTCGAATACTGCATAAAAAGGTTTGGCTTCCCTATAAAAGTAACTAAAATAACTATCATAAAATAAATATGTATTGAAAAGATAATGCCTGAACAATTAGTTATTGAAATCTCTACATAACACACATCGAAAATAGTCATCGAAATTACAGTCAAAAGACAGAGCAATAGATCTTGGTCCATATCACGTATAGCCATATTCTTAGCAAGCCTTTTGCTTACTTTCTTAACTACGCCGCATATACCATTCATGCTCTACAAGGTATCGATTGAATTCTCCTAGTTTGCCACTTTGGGACAGACTGTTGCTGCCCGTGGCTATAGCCTGCTGTTGCATTTACTGGTCACTGTGATTGCGCATCTTTGTCATTGTGCCACTTTGACACAAGTTCAAGCAGCAAGGTCGACGAGACTCATAAATTTGTAGCGCTTCGGGCCACGTTAACATTGATTTCTGGCTGTCAACGCGCTGCAAAAGGCCAAATGCCACTAATTTTAATAATAAAGCAGCAGCCAGCGACATCACTGACATACTCACACACACATATGTATATACATATAGATCTATATAAATATATTTTTATATATGTATATATATAAAGCTATTATGTGCGTGAACTGTCGTAAAATGCGGCGCCAACTACACCAACAACAAAATTCGAGCACAGCTGCAGTCAACGACTCGGCGACGACCTTAGAGAGCAACGAATGAAATATTTATATAAGCTGTATGTGTATTTCTGTATGTATGTGTGTGTGTGTGTGGCTGTAGATTTCCATATAGCATAAAATTCAGGCGAAAATATGCTTGTGGAAATTAAATAATTTATATTGCCATTTGTCTGCATACTTTGCATATTTCCCATTAATGACCCAGAAAAAATAATTGCGGCTAAGACAACAGCTCGAAAAACGCACGCTGAGATGAAAGGCGAACAGAATGAATTAGGATAGATGGCCAACATGGAAGACGCCATGTGGTTAGAGAAAGAGTCTCACTAATAGAGTCTGCCTGTGTGTGGGTGGGTGTGTGTGAGTATTGCAAGGTCAGTGAGATAATTGCAGAAGAGAAATACAGATATAGAAACTAAGGAAAACAAAATAATTACAATAATTAAATAGGTAAGTTATACAATTCAAGATATTAAAGCGCAGACACATTGCAATGTGGACTCGCCTATTTATATAGTATATTATTTTTTTCGCATTGCAATCAATAGGCCCGGCTAGCTCAGTCGGTAGAGCATGAGACTCTTAATCTCAGGGTCGTGGGT